GTGTGAAAACATACATTATATAGAACTCAGAGAAGGAGCAACCGCTAAGCTAAGGTGAAAGGGCATAAAACCCCAGTTTCATATAGTTTATTTGCTCAACTTCACAATTCGTTCTTCCGTAGAGATGTGCCAAAGCCAATGCAAACCCTTTTTCGCAGTCTGGTGCTTTACATTCAATAAAATTTGACATTGTCAAGTGCACTTGTTCGAGTGGAAAATGTTTTTCGCGCCGACAAACACAAAAAACTGTGAAAAGACGAATGGCAAATAGAAACTGGTGAAATGCGACGAGTTAAGAGACACAAGAGTACTTGCAAAAGAGCTTTACATGTCAAAAAGTCCAATTTCGTGGGGGAATTTCTCGAGAACTAGGTAACAAGCTTAGACGAATTTGATACGAAATTACAAACGAATAAGCATTAACTTCTAGACCAACATAAAACCAAATATTTAAGACTGGTTTTATAAGCCTCTCTAATATTTTAAATGTTTCCGATATTCTAGATTTTATTTGTGTATATTAAAGGTTTCATTTGTGGATATTCCCTTTTTTTTAATTAAATACATTTATGTATCAAGATTTAAAAGTTTTAAAAGTATTGCTATTATGGAAAGTATTCAGAATTTAAAAAATAACGAACTTAAAAATTCTTTAATAAGGACGAATTTATATATTTATATTTTTGGTATTCAAAATATCCCCTTTAATATTTAAATCACTTTTAATTTAACTTGCCTTGCCATTGATCTAACGAGAGCGAGGTGGGTGCATTAATTAAATTTAATGTATTGTGACAGAGTGTTGATTTAATGCCTGCACAGCCGCTGCAAACGTGGCGCGGGGTGTGAGATTCTTGTAATTGCCAAGTCGTTTGTCGTGCAGCGTGTCGTATACGTGATGTAGTTTTGTAATTTCTAGCTGATTTTTGGAGGCCAAGATGCAGTTTTTTTTGGGGGTGGCGTATAAATTTCACCCAGGGTTAAAGTCAAATGCACGTGTTGTTGCCTGATATTCGCTTTAGCCCCATTCTTAACCCTCCCCAACTGGTGCACTTGGCGTATGAGTAATGTGATTTCCTTGTGACGTCAAGCTTTCTCTGGGCCTGTCAATCTCTAAGGAAAGACCGCATATCCGAGTTTTCCCGCCTCACATGTTCTCGCTTATTCCCCAAATGTCCTCATGCAAAAACTGAAAATGAGCTATGGAAATTTGCAGCATTTTCCCAGGGCTACTCTTCCTCGCTTTTCTCCCCCCTTTTGACCACCGCAAATACACAATGCTCATTGCTTATTTATCAAATATCCACACATTGCCTGCAGTTACAGTGGGCTCTCGACTCCCGTTCCCAACTCGTTGATTTGTTGAAAGAGGGAGGACAGCAAAAAAAGGCACTTTTATTATTTTCTTATCAAATGGGAAAAGTAAGCATACATAAAACAGACATTATTAAACTTGGTCAGATGCCTAGACAACATGTGTAACTAAAACATAGTAAAATAGTAATGTTATTTAAAATTTTGAGTGAAATAGTAGGTAATGTTATTCTTACACTACCTAACACTATCAGATACCTTAAAATTTATTTAAATATTTTTTACAATACTGGAAGCTTAACTTTAAAAAAAAAAGTTATAATACATTCCAAATATTTTATTAAGCTATAGACACCTTAAAAAATACTTAAATATATTTTTACATATTGGAAGTTTTACTTTTATATACAAAAATTATAATGTATTCCAAATATATTCAAAATAGCTACTATTTTTTCCCAGTGTACCTGCTTTTATGCGATTGTGTGTGGGTGGCCGCGCAATTAGTTGGCGGCTGCATAACGAATTGTTCACTCTTAGCATTTTCCCCTCGCATTTGATTCGATTTTCACGAAGTGAGGGCTGAATTATAAATAAATCGTGGCATTACGTTTAACATGAATCCAAATCCAGCGTGACGTCACTGTTGTCGCCCACACACACCAAAATTTAACTTTGTTGTTGCGTGCGAGGAAATCATATCGGGCAGGTAAACTTTAGTTTACCTTGGTGTGGAGAGCTCTTTGAAATGTTTTCGGAATCACATTTGACATGAGTTTTTAATAATTAATTCTGTAAGAGAGTAATGTAAACGAAATGTTTAACTTGTCTGAAATTAAGCCAACACTTTATGCATTAAATACCTACCGAAAGGAGACATTCTACTCTACATCCCCCCCTAAAATTTCGCTCATTTGTAATTGCAGACTTGGGATAATTGATTAGAGTTTTGTTTTAAGTGTTAGGTGAAAGACGCGGGACGAAGGCGATAATGATTTTGGCCATGTTTGTGTTTTGGTCCCATCGTGTTCCGTACCTTTGTGTGTGTTTGCTAATTAGAGGCCAAACTTTCTGCCTAATTAATGTCATTAGTGTGCACATTGTTCCTCAGACAAGAGAGAACGAGAGATCTCTGATAAGGAGAAAATATTCGAATGGAAATGGGAACTAGAGAACGACAGAAAAGCAGAGAGAAAAACTTTACTTGATGACTTTCCCCGAATGATTACAAGGCGCAGATGGGGATTTGAAGGTTTCTGCACAGAAAAATAAATTTGTAATATGAAGAATATTTATAAAACAGTCTTATAATAGCTGTTGGACATACAAGTAATACAAAAATAACATTAAAAGAATGCTTTTCTTTTATCATTAAAATCAAGATGCTCCATAATGTAAAAAAAAACCTGTTTCTTCGAACATAGTATTGTATATCTTATAATAGAAAAATGACCCCACATTAGTTAAATGTTTTAAATATAATTTATACAGGACTCTTGATTTGGCGCTTTTGTTCTGTGCACAGAACACCCAAAAAGATCAGAAAGTAATGTGTGTGTGGGTGGGCTTTCATCAGATATTAGGCCCCAAAGATATACACCTATTTAAAGGCCCTCTTTTTGTGCATTAAGTTTTCAGGCTGTCAGCTCTAATTGATAAATGACCAAGAGGCAGAACATTTTATCTCCATTTGCATAATTGATATTGAATTTTAATTGGTTTTATTTTGCTTACATTAGTTTTAATTTTGTATACATTACCGTGGTATTTAGTATGCAATAAACAAACGTTTTTCACCTATGTCAAAGTCAAGGTCTTTTCTGTTAGACATAAATCAAGTCATACAATAAATATGTAAATCGAAAGTTTTAAAATGCATTTGCCATACAATAGTTATAAATCTGTTAAATATTTAGCCACTTTTTCACCTATGTCAAAGTCAAGGCATTTTCTTCTTTGCGGTTTTTTATCTTGACAGGCATCAGATTTTTGCTTTTGCTGTTTTGAACTTGATGCAAAAAATAATTTCATTACTTCAGCGCGTCAAACAAAAAACGAAACGAGAAAAATACTTTGTTTAAAAACATATTTAGGCAAACACGTCAAATTTTTTGGGAGGCTGGCAAAATGCCAGCGGAATTCGTATCTGTTTCGAATAGTTTGACGATTGCCACGCCTTTTGTGTATATACATATATAGTATAGAACGCCCCCGGGAAATTTGTGCTGCGTATTTAGAGCCGCTTTGATATTTATATTTACGTGCGATTAACCCAACTGGTATGCAATCCGCATATTTCTTTGCACATTTGCATTTAATATTCAATGAATTATTCACTGCTGCGGTTTTTGTTTATGCCACGCAACTTGTTGAAAAATTGAAATTAATTCGCTGGCCGAACTGCCAATTAATCGTGTGAGCGATATTTTCATTTCTGTGTTTAGGCCATAAATATAATATTTTCGCGTGGGAATTGCGCAGGATTTTCGACGGCTCTTCTTTTGGCTGTCTGTCAACCGATCAACGAGTGCGAAATGTATTTGGAATTTCGCTTTAATTGCTTTTGTAAGCGATCTTTATTTTCCCTGGGTCCCTGTCTATTAAGGTTGGAATTTTAATTGCGTGATCTTTTCGCTAATAGTACGAAAAAAAGATATTTTCTTCAGTTCAGTTTCTGTGGTGGCGTTGGGATAATGTCTAAAAATAAAGTGGTACTAGAAACTTGGGACTTTGGGCAATTTCCGGTCGTTTTGGGGATTGTTGTTTTGCTCCCACCACATCTTTCTCTTTTCTTTCTACCTTTCACTTAAATTTAACAAGGAAATAATGCGCATACGCCATGTCAACCCGAGGGGAAAGCAAAGTCCTTGCCGCAATTTGGCCCCGCCGAGTTGGCAGCGCTTAAGCCTTTAACAACAATTAAATATATTACACTCGAGCACGGAGAAAATGAACAGAAGCGAAAAAAGAATGCAGGCACATGAGTGCACTTAAAGAAAAGAGAGTTTTTCTATTTATACATTATTTAGGAAATAAATACTTTTGAAAATGTAATATGTTTTACAAGTTAATTAGATAATATTATTGTAATTTAGACTTCAAAACTTTGAAATACTATACAATTCTATGAATAAATAATTATAAATAAATATTAATTAAGTTCAAGAGTGAGAATTTAAAGTAAATAATTGTAATGTTTTACAAAAAATACTGTATACAATAAATTTATGCTCACAACTTCCCTTTTACATTTTTATTTTCTTTAAAGTAAACATAAAATGAATTTTAAAAATGAAAAAAAAAATTCTTTGCTAAAGTTGCCTAATAATTTAAATACCTCTTTTATAAACATTACAATAAAATATTAAGAATATTGTAGGAAATCAAATGTTTAATTTTCCCTCGGTGTATTGAAGAGCTTTGTGGCCAGTGAAGTGGATGCATGACCAGCTGCCCGCCAGCCAATTTTGCGACTGGCCAAAGGACTCGCCGCCAAGCGGTGGAAAACCCAAAGACCAAAAGCCTCTGACGACCACACACACGACAATTAAAGTAAAAGCTTGTCAAGTGCACAAACATATACATGCCTACAGTATATATAAGCTGCCAAGTGGATTCTCTTGGATACTTTTAAAACATAAATTAGTTTTCTCCTGACTCATTTGATCCTTTGTTTTATTTTGCAGAACCAAGAAAAGACAAGACTGATGCACAACAACAACACGGAGGCAATGGCACAATATCCACGCCCAACATCGAGCAGCCCACCTGCCAGGGCTCGATGCTCCCGCCCCCGGGGGCGGTGGTGGCCTTCACCAGGCGGACGGCAGTGGGAGTGGCAAGATGGAGCGACCGAACACGCTCGCCGGCGCCAATAAGCTGACCCGTCGCGGGGTCAACATCTGCTACCACAACGAGCACATGTGTAAGTGTACCATATATGGGAGTGTCCTTGGAAAACGCTTTTTTACATTATTAGTAACTAAGATGTTGGCTGGTGGGGCAAAGGAAACTGAGAAAGGAAATACCTTGAGTTGGTTTAAGTTAAGTATTTGTTCTAACTTGCCTCTTGGTCAACAAAAATTCAAATTAAAGACAACAATATATTTTTAAACTAGAGTAAAGACGAAAGAAAAAGAGAAATACATTACCAACTATCCATTAACAAATTTAATAAAATACAGCATTAATTAAAAATAAAATAAAATAAAATAAAATATAGTTTAAAGATGGTATTGAATTTAATTTTGTTCACAAATCGTTTAAATGCAAAAAAAAAATTTCAAGGGTATAAAAAACGTATATAAAATGAAATATTGGCATTATATTGAATTAACTTAAAATAAAGACGTTTAAATAAAGTTAAATTTAAAGAAGACATTGAATTTAGCATAAAATGTTTCATTTATTTTGGTAACAAATTATTTTGGTAACAAATCATTTAAATACAAAAAAAAAACTTTTTTAAAGTAAAAAATTACTCTTATTTACACTCTTAATAAAATAAAATTGACTAATAAAATAAGTAAATTTACCTTTAAATCTGCAAACACAGTTTCGAAAATATCATGGTGTTGAGCAACACTTTAAGGAGTAATTCTATAAAATAGGTATCTTGACTCTTTTATTTTTTTATGACTTTGGATCTGTAAGCCTTACGATCGATCTATCAGTTTCCTTTTCTCTATCGCCAACTATATCCACCCACACTTAACCACCACGCACACACCCAAACAGTCACTCACCCACGCACACACTCTCTCACACACACATTTGGCTAGACTCGAGGAAGAGCTGCTTTCACTTACTTTCTTTTCTGACTATCTTTCTTTATATCTGTATCTTTCTACTACCTCTCCTCTCTCTTTCCGCTGAAACAAAACAATTACAAAAATACGAAATTCGAAAAACGAATGCGAACAAAATTTCTATAATCTCAATCAGATGGCGAAGATGGAAAAATGGTGGGTGGTCCGCCGGGCAGCACTCCGCCCCCCTATCCGGGTGGCAAATTGCCGCCGGGCGTAATGCTCAGCGAACTGCCAGAGCCGCCGATTCCGCTGTCGGAGATCGGACCGATCCCACCGCCCCCGATGTTCTCCACTCCCAGTCCCACGCTCATCGCGGGACGACCTCATGGGCCCGGTGCCGTCAACGATCAGGATTACCAGCAGGACTACGACTACGATGGTAATTTCCCAGCCCAGACCCACACCCACACCCGAATCGTACCCAGCCCCTCCTATAGAGAAAACCAACCAAATTCCCTTCTAGATTAGCCAACCCTCAGCTCATTAACAAAAACGCGCACTTCATAATGTATGCTAGTTGGGGATGTTGATATTAAGTTGATATAACAATGAATTAATTCATTACTAGTACAACAAAAAAAAAACAGAAATTGGCAAGTTTAGTCTTAATACGTGTGTCTTGAAAATAAACTACTGACTGTAAAGTATAAGTTTTAATTCGATACTAAATAATATGGGAAAATTTTCAAACTTATTTTTAAAACACTTAAGTTTTATTTTTATACTTTTGTGGTATTAATTTAATACTCATCTTATTGAAAATCTTGTCTACCCAATGGATTAAAATTCATAAAGGTAAAAAATATTTCTGTCGAAACTCCAGTTAGACAATTAAAGTTGTATGAACCAAACTTTTTTTTTTAAAGTTTTACATGCATTTAGATATAGAAGAAATTTATATATATATATAACCGATATATATACATATATATTTATATATGTTTAAATATTTAAATAATCTATTGACAAAAATTAATTTAAAATCAACACCGCAATAGCTAGTCCCCTCCCTATTCCCTCAAACCCGACCCAAATACATTTTACGTGGTTTTATTTTGCAACGCTCACTAATTTGAAATCTTTTGTGTCTTAATTAGATCACGATCCGGATCAGGATGAGCTTGACTCGGATGACGAGTATGCCCCGTATGGTGGCAATCAAGTGCGCATGATGGACACGCAGCGCGTCGAGGAAATTCCAGCCAAAGAGCCCAAACCAAATGCAGTTCCTCTCAAGTCGGCGCTGAAGAAGAAGGGCGGGGCCATGCCCACCTCCGCCTCCACGCCAGTCACGCCCACCCAGGATCATGGGGCGGGAAGCGCGGCATCGGCAGCGGCCATGGCAAATAGCAACGGCGGTATAGGTTCGATGGCGGCAGCTGCTGCAGCAGCGGCCCAACAGTCCGCCAGTCAGCGTCCATTGGTTATTCGGCAGGATGCAGCGGGCAACAACTATTCGCTCAAGTGAGTACCAGTAGGAATTACCAAATATAACAGGTATTAAGTGATGTTTATTTGATTGAACATGGAAAATTTTAAATAATTTTAAAAGACCTTTAAATAAAGCTTAATTCAAAATGCTATAGATTGGCTTTTACGATATAAGTATCAGCTTTTAATTCAAAACACTTTCAATTATTCTTCAAATTTGGTTTTTTCGCTAGAAAATGTTCAACATTTAATAAAAAGCAACCCAAAGCTGTCAGTTGTTAACACTTACCACTATCACGAACAAACAACTGTCAGTTGTCAACATTTAATATTATCACGAAATTGTTTAACACTAGAAAATAAACAAAAACCATTATTTTGTCTAGAAATGTTTTTATCAATATCAATCCTTTGCCGTTAAATAGTCAAAAGACCAATTTCCATGATTAATCATAAACAGCATAAATACCATTTTAAAGTAGTATAATTTTGTATCGTTTTACTTAACTCCCTGTTGACTCTGTTTAACACGACCCTTAATCGCCCTAAACTTCCCCACGTTTTTTGGTAGTTCTTTATTAAAACACCCAATTAAAGTTTGTTAATCTGCCCAGAATAAGTTTCGTTTGTCTCTCTAGTGTATAAACACAACTTTTTACCTATTATACTACTGAAGAAAAGCTCACCAAAAGATTTAATACCCCCAAAAAAAACCTACTATTTGTTCCGTTTTTATTGTTACTCGAACTGTTTTCTATAACAAAAAATTTGTTCTCTTCTCCGTTTTTCCCCGACTGCCCCCGAAAACCTGTGTTTGTTCTATTTCATATACAATTTCGATTCGATTCGTTTGTGTGTGCGTGTCGAACAACAACAAAACCCATCCACTTCTATATCTACTACTACTACTACTACTATTTCAACCAAAACAACAAAATATGTAACGAATATCAGGCCAATACTTCGACCACGGATTAGACTATGGTAAACAATTTTTAGCTAATTTATTTGTAATGTGAAATCATGAAAACCCAAAACAATAAATGCTTCTAGTGCACCCCCACATACTGCTCTCTCTTTCTCTCTCTCTCTCCCTTTTTAAATGTTTTAAATGTTGTTATATAACACTACACTTCTACTCTGTTGTATAACACTCCCCGCAGTCCTTTTTAAAAATAATCCCCCCACAAAACGAAACAAAAAACGCGCTCATGTATACTTGCACTTTGTGCTGCACTCAAACACTCGGCTGTCTGTATTTTTGTACAAGTTTTTGTTTTATTTTTGGGTAAATAAAAACTGAAAGTTTTACAACTTTACAACACTGGAGTACACACGCAAACACGAACAATCACCCACACACCCGTATTCTTATTAAATTACTAACTTTTTTGCAGCGATTTTCGTTGTTTGCCTCTTATGAGTTTTTCCTTTTTTGTTTTTTCACAACACAACACTCGAGTCTTCTTCATTACCCCCATTACGTCTGTATGTGTGTATATCTGTGCGACTGAGTGTAGATTTTTTTTCCGTAAAAACTTTCTTTGTCTTTTCTTTGCCACTGCTGTCTGTGTAGTATTTCCCTCTGAGTCCTGCATGTTTCATTTCAAGCAAGAATTTGTTTCAAATTACAATTTGCCTTCCCAGTTTTAATTTGATATTTCCCACATTCGAAATATGCAAAAAAAAAAAAGTTAAAAGAAAATGGTATTTCCGGCGGTGTAGGTCAAGTTTTTTCATTAGGCAAACTTTGCCTTTAAGTTGTCCAGAGGCGAAATGAAAACTTGAAGTGTGCCTGTGCCGCCAGTGCATCGAAATTGAAATTGAAATTCAAATTGAGTGGAGGACAAAGACAGGCCTCACTCAAATGCTTTCGAGTGTTTCGCTCTTCTCGTTTTTCACATGACTGATATGGCCAACAATTTATGCACTTTATAACGCACAAAAATCAAATAAAAAGGAAAAATATGTAAAATAGCTGGGGTGCAGTGCACAGCGTAAGCGAAACCGAAGCTCTGCGAAACGTGCCTGCTAAAAAGCGATTTCTTGTTGTGCGCCCTCCAATATCTAACCATCTGTACATCTATCTTTCTATCGGAAAACGTAAGAGTGGGCACAATTTATGGGTATGTCGCACTTTGAAGCCATTTTGATGGAGGTTAAATCGCTTGCAATGTGATGGAGATATGTCAGGAAAGAAAGATATGGGAAGGCATAAAGGTTATGGCACAACGAAAATGTTTTAGAATAACAAATTTAAAAATATTTATAAAACTTTCAAACGCTTTTTATCTATTGACTCTATAAATATTATTTAAAAGGAAAGATAATTAAAAAGTAAACTTAAACCTATATAAATTATTTAATATAATAAAGAGTTTAATAAAACCTTTTTAGAAACAGAAAAGAAAATTTTCTGGAAAAGTACAAATTTATACTAATTTATTTATAAACTATTTAATCTAATTAAGAGTTAAAAAAACCTTTTTTAATCCTACTAAAATATGTACCCAAAGAATATTGGCTCACCTAAAAGTCCGTAAAATGCTTTAAATCTTCTGAAGAGAAAGTGACTTCCTGTGTGGCATTTTCACTCTATTTTCCTCGGAGACAGTTGGTGGAAAACTATATAGAATGCGTATTGCGTCACTCATCCGCCGCGCGGCCCCCACAACAAACTCCCAGGCTTTGTTCAGTTTTTATCCAATCGTGTTTGGCATTAACGCCCCGAAAGTACGACGGAAGCAGCCAAACAGGATATGGCATTCGAGGCGGGCTTTTTTTAAATCTTTTTCTATAGTAAAACCCCCGACAGCTTTAAGTACAAAGTCAAACACATGGGTGTACGTACATACATATATGCATGTGTTTTGCATATTATTTTGCACGGCTGTGTGGGCTGCCAGATGTGCACTCCACGTGCCGTTTCCAAAAGAAAAGAAAATGGGGGAGAAAACCAAACTGCCGCAGCAGCAAAGGAAAATAAAGAGGTGGAAAAAAGCATTTTCCTTCTTTTTTTCGGGTTGGTGACAAAACTTAAGGACAGAACAGGAAAAAGATAGACAAGATACAGTTGTGTATGGAATAATAGAAAATGTGACTTAAATATACAACCAATTTATTTAAATTTTTGAAGGTTAACGAAATATAAAAATACTGCATATCCATTAAAATATTATATAACCTTGGAAAATTAAACTCTGAAGAATTAAATTAGGATTAACTTGATACATTGAAATAAGCGTTTTTTAAAATGTTTCTCTAAAATTGTAATTTAGTAGGTCTAGTCATAAAAAAATAATGCAATTATTTTTGCAACTGGTCATAAATTTAAAAACAGAATAATTCGTTGCGCCATTATCTTTGTTATGAATAGTCTGAAAAACCATCCAATCTAAATGCGTTTAAATATGTAAATCAGGTACTTAAATGTGCTTATATCCTCGCTAATATTTCAACTGCAACTGTAGCAAGAGATAAAGAAAGACCCAGAACTGTGTGTGCACGTGGATGAATAAATTTAACACATGCAGCGGGGATATTTATGCACATGTGAATACTAGAAGCAGGCTAAAATCTGGCAGATTGCCTGGCCAAGATTGCAGAAACGAAAGGACTAAGACTAGGACTCAGAGGAGGGACACGATAAATGAGAAATAACACAAATAAATAAATTGCAACATAATATAAATCTGGATATAGAATTTTACATTTCATAAATACAAACACGAAATGCATAATTTAATATGAAAACATTTGAATTGAATATAAGATTAGGAATGGGTTTACCTAAAATACTGAGATATATTAATCAATTCTGAGAATAGTCTAATAAAATATTATTTTTTTCCGAATTTAAAATATTTTATATTTAAATACAATGTAAGCTGCATAATTTAAAATTAAAATATTTAAACTATTGTGCAAAATATAAGATTATTTGTTTTTAATACATTTTATTTAAGTTTATTATGGTTTTTGTTTAAATTAAAATTCCGAAAATAGTCAAAGTAATTAAAAATAATATTATCCGTATTTAAAATAACTAAAAACCGCAATAAAAATAAAAAGCAAAACGAAATACATTTAAATTAAATAGGAAATACTATTTTTTTTTTACCAGTGTAGGACTCAGAGGTGGAAGGACGACTGAAATGCATGGGCAATGCCTGTATAGTTGCCAGTAGTAACTATTGTGGTTTGGTTGTTGTGCTAATGTGTCTGTTTGTAGTGTTTAATGCGCCTGCTAATGACTTAATGGTTAACACGCCTTAATATGTGTACCGCCTTTGATGCTTAACCCACAGCAGGCAGCAAATGTTCAACATCCAATTGCCGTGCACTGTGGAAAACAAGGAGAACGCCCGACCGTTTGTGATACGCGAAAGTAGCAGCGACAGCGACGAGAGCGATGGCCATATTGTCTACAGGGACGAGGACAACGACAATACGCGTCTGGCCAAGTTGGCCCGCAAGGAGTCGCTGTCCCTCAAACTGCAACTGCGGCCGGACAAGCAGGACCTGATCAACCGCAACATCCTGCACCAGGTCAACGACAACGAGCTCAAGGAGTCCAAGGAGGCGATCGGAGCCCGTCTCATCCGCCGCCTGTCGATGAGACCCACGGCCGAGGAGCTGGTCGAGCGCAACATTTTGAAAAGTGAGTTGAAATCAAGGTTGGGAAAATCCAACTAAAATCTAGAATTTATTATGAGAAACAGAAAAATCTTAGTACTATCAGCTCATATGCCAAGTTTTAACATTTAAAATCGTCTGGATTTTGTAGAAATTTAAAATAATATTTAGTTTTATAAAATTAGGTTTTATCTAGAATTTGTTAAAGGAATCTAAACGATCTTAAAATTCTTTAAATTTTGTAGAAATGAAAATAAATATATATATTTTTAAATGAATAAGAACAATCAGCTTATGTTAAAGTTGTTCAGATTTATATAATGGTGTTTCCCAACCAATTTGAGTTTGGGAACATATTAAATTGAATCATTTTCAAAGAATCTGATTCTCTTTTAATGAATTTAATAAATAAACTTTATCAATTCTTTAAAAATTCGTTTGATGGGAATGTAAAAAAGATTAAAGAATCAGATTTAAGTTAAGCTAAAACCTTTTAAAAACAAAGCAACTTGAACTTAAATAATTATGGATTTTGGTTGATAATTTTCTTTTCCATTACTATTACCTTTAAAATGGAATTTTATTAAATGCTATTCACTTGATTTTGTGCAGCTCAATCACCCGCCGAGGAGAAAAAGCAAAAGGAGGAGAAGAAGTCGTATCTGTTGCGCAAACTCAGCTTTCGGCCCACCGTCGAGGAGCTGAAGGAAAAGAAGATCATCCGGTTCAACGACTACATCGAGGTCACGCAGGCCCACGACTACGATCGAAGGGCGGACAAGCCGTGGACAAGACTGACGCCGAAGGACAAGGCCGCAATTCGAAAGGAGCTGAACGAGTTCAAGTCCTCCGAAATGGCCGTCCACGAGGGCAGTCGGCATTTGACGAGGTATGCGGCTATCTAGGGCCTTGTTTGGATTAATATCTCAAAAGAAATTCAGGAGGAAACACTGAAAGTTTGTTTTATAAGGTGTCAGAGAATAGTTTTACATTTCAAAGGGGCTATCTAGTGTTAAGGTATCAGTGGAAATAGTTTTGATTCTATTTAAGAGGTATTAAAATATCTAATCCCTTGTTTAACCTTATTTCTCAGTCAAAGTTAAGGCAGAACCCCTTTATAGAACTTGAATATATAAGTTACTTCAATAAAATGTCAGGTGAAAAAGATCAGAATAGTTTTCCATTTAATTAGGTTTACTTAAATAACTTTAATTTGGAACCACTGAAATTTTGTTCATTTCATTTCATTTGAGGTCTGGGGCTATCTCAACAATTGTTTAACTTGCTCAGCCAAAATTCACTTATGTTTTTGTTTTAATAAGGCTAACGGGAACATAGTTGTGAATAGTTCCATATTTCACAAGTTTAAGGACTATCTTACCCAACTATTTAATCCAAAATTCAGGCATAACTGCTTTAAAGGAAGAAAGTTTTAAAGTATTTTTAATAATATGTATGATGTCTGGCCAAAAGGCTAAACAGTTTCTCAAACGTCATGTTACTTGTGTTAAAACCTACATTTTAAGGGAACATCTCAAGGAAAGGTAATCTTAGAGTTCTTTTAAAAAGACTGTCAAGTCTTGATTATTTTGAGTATTTTAACTTGTTCATACTGTTTAGCAGTTTAAGACTGACAATCGCATTAATTAAACTATAAGCTAATTGACGTTGCCAGGGTATTTCGCACTTCGATGGGCATGGATAACCACCGAGTCTAACTGGTTTTGCAAATTGCTCCCGTGGGTGGTTGCTGGAGGTCGTCAGTGGGTGGGTGGGTGTGTGTTAAAGTGCGAGGCTGTAGTTCGTTGTGGGGCCAAAGCAATCTCGCAATTGAGACATTCCAGTGTACGGGGGCCTGAATTATGTAGCGGGCGTGTCCTTGCGGCCAAATCGAATGGCCAAAAAGTGAGCCAAGCAAAAAATTGCCAATGCCAATGGCCAGTGAAGTGTCACGTGCAGTTTTGGCCAGCAGTCAGCTAGTCAGGCAGTGAGGCAGTCGGGCAGTCCCTTACAAATGTATTTTGGCGATATGCAGTCACAAAGGATTCGGTGTTTTTTTTTTTCATTTCCATTTCCCTTGCAGTTTTTGGCAGTGTTTTTTTTTATTTCTGGGGGAAGCAAGTGTAATGGCTTTTGGATTTCGGTCGACTGCACTTTATCCTTAAAGAGTTAAGCGATCTGGCTGCCACACGCCATTTAAACTTGCTCGCATTTAATTCTATTTGCTGGCCACGAAACTGAAAAACAAAAACAAAAAAAACTAATCAAAACTTTCTCTTGCAGATTCCATAGGCCATGACGATTGCAATGGCAGCAACTTTCCAGCAAATTGCAACAGCAACCCAAGCAACAATTGTATTTTATGCAGCATCAAATTGTCAACAAATATTTAAAAGCAAAAAATTAAGCCAACAAACTAAGAGTAACAAAAAATAAGAAAACTTTCAAACCAGGCATAAAAAGAAAAATAAAATAAAACGAAAAAAAATACACAAAAAAAAAGAGGAATGAAACGTGAGAAATTGAGGAAAATATAGGAAAAAAAGCCACATTCAATACATCATAATTGATAGTTTTCTGTTGATCATAGCGAGAAATGCCGCTCGGTTTTCTAATTTTAAGTTCTTTATGTTTCACCTTCTCCATTTGTTAATTGTGTGTAAATAAAATTATTTTCGATATTCAAGCCAATTTCACAACGCAAATCAAAATATCAATTCGTCTTTTGTAGAAATGTTAAGTCGCTTTTTGAGTTAAGGCAATTATGTATTATATTATATAAAAATAAACAATTAAACAACAACAAGGAGAAACACTAAATGATATTCGATTAAACATTTACATTAATGAAAACTAAATGGCTGAAAAAAATTCATTAAAGCTTAGGCATTAATTTACACTTACTGTTGCTTTCCATACATTTTTAATTTTTGAATTAAGCCAACTAAAAAAAACAACACAGAAATATACAAACAAAATTCTATACGAAAAATTATGTTTTACATTTACACAACATTATTGTAAAAAGCTTAAACGTAAAAAAAAACAAAACACAACACATTAAACTTAGAACTACGATACATTTACGATAATACCGAAAAATAAACTCTAATTTTTCGAAAGACATGTTTACGAAAAATAATTTAGTTGTTTTCGTTTTTATTTTCAGTCTGTGTTTGTTTTGTTCAATTCTCGAGTATCTTCTAACATGTACATACATATCGCCAAAGAATATTTGCATGGAACTCTAAAACTTATCGTGGAGATATAGAAGGAAACCCAAAAACCCGCAAAAAAAAAGCTGACAAAAGAATGCTCAAGCTGGCAAAAAAAAAAGCCCAAAAGTATAAAACACTCTAATAATAAATGGCAACAAAATATCAGGAAAAATAAACTGAAGCAAGTTGGACCCAGAATGAAGTTTTTTAGCGAGGAGAAAAAGTAAAAGAAAAAATTACAACTTAAGACGTAAGTCACGTAACCTACAACTTTTTAGACAGAGAGTACAGAGTTCGGAACCAGATGGAACAACATCATAATGAATATTTATTTTGTAAAAGCAGGGAAAAGCGGAAACTGAAACTTTTACTCAAGCATTCCACATAGTAAACTTAACCAAGAGGAAAATATGGAGAAATTCCAAAAACAAAAACCAAAACAGAAAACAGAAAATTGTAAATTTTGAGGCAAATGCAAATTGAAATGCTCGCGCGTGCTCGTGAATATTTAAACATAAAAGACGTAAAGTAAATATAAAACTAAAACTAAAGTTAAACTAAAACTTAAACTAAAACTAAAACGTAACGTAATGAACTCCGTTTCAAAGGACACTTAGTAAGATACAGATACAGATACAGACACAGCATATAAATTAAACGAAGCCACTTATTTCGAAAGCCCCCGATTAAGGGGCATAAAACCCATGGTCATTAGTTAAATGGTACAGTGGTGCTTCCTTTGCAAGTTTCATTCTTCTAATCGAAAAAAGGGGGGAATTGTAATATTTTCGGTTTTGAATAAGACACGAAATCGAAACTATATAGCAGTCCTTCTTCGTTTCAATCCGAATCTGAATCTGAATCTCTCTCTATGTCTGCCTCTTGCTTCAAAGCGTTGCATTGTCAAAGTTAAGCAATATAAATTGCATATATACATATAAACAACAAATATATATGAAAAAAGGAATAAATAAATTATACATATTTAATGACTATACAAAAAGGCAGAATATATATGTATATATTCATTTATGTATACACCTATTTATATGAGATGAAGCAGCCGAAGCTATACAACTCTATCAATATGGGATATAGCATAGTTTACACTTTTTCTATGGAGCGATTTATAGTGTACGATACACGAGAATTAGAGCAGAAGATCGTCGGTTTCGACCCCATTCGAATCTCCCCCGATAGCACTCGCGATATATGCGATATGCGATAGGCGATTTTCGATAGGCGATGTCCGATAGGCGATAGTCGATAGGCTACAGCTATCTAGAACCGACTTTCGTATTATACAGCAGGGCCTTTCCTCCTCGATCCCCACCAGTTTTGTTCTTCTGCCATTGGTTCTTCCCTATACTCCCTATTTTTCGACACATCTTTGCCAACTTCTGCAGTTGCAGAAACCAAAAAATGAAAATAAAAACGAGTAAAAACAAAAAAGATCTATAGCAATAACTAAGAACACCATAAAGCGATTGAAGAAATGAGTTTTTGGGCCAAGGCCGAAGTATGAAAAAAAACCACAGATAAAGTTGTGAAAATTTGCAAATGCGAAATGGGTTAAGAGTATGAGTAATGCAAGTTAAGTAAAGTAGCGGAATAAGCGTAGCGAGAGTTTTGGCAAAAACGGAAAAAAAACCGAGATCACAAACAACAGAAAAACCAGAAAAATATTGAATAATAATCACCGACAAATTGAGATTTAATAAAGATTTAATTACTTACAAAAGGTATCACGTATTATCTATGCAAAACAACATGGGTTAACCATCGATTTTTAAAGAAGTGGGGGAAAAAGGTTATTTTAAATTTAAACAGCAATGGATCTCCTGAGATAAACAATATTAAAATGGATCATTAAGGTAAAACAGAACTTACAAGATATTATAATTATTATTATTATTTTTTTTATTTTGAATAATTGCTTTTTAAGTTGAAACGAAATACAAAAAAAGGATATATTAGGATCGACTGTCTCTACTTATGGAAAATATTTGTCAATATGGTAAATTTTAAGTATTTTATGATTATGATTTTTTATATATTTTTTAATTTTAGTGATCCGTTTCTACGTTGAAACGTCTGCGGATTTCTTCGGTACTTTGACAAGAATTGATGACATTTGCAAGGAGTTTGGTTCCAGCCTCCAGAAAGATATCCAGCCCAAGATAATCTGAGGCCAAAAGGAGTTGCACAAGGAACAGAGGTTCGGCATTTTGATTCTTAAGGAGTCCTTTGAGAACCTGCATTCCCGTAGTCTGTTCACAACCTCCGATATCCTGCACAAATGTATACCACTTTATTATAAATTCCATTGTTTTGGAATCGACTCTGGCCAGAGGAATAACATCATTTGAATACGTCCCGTTCTCTACTTTTGCAATGTCCCGAATGGCTGCAAATTGTAGCGCCAATCGAATGTCCACTGTATGAAGCACGCCATCGCTACTCTGTAGTTTTACAAATATCGGGACTTCTAATGCTGAACCGCTTTTCGACATCTTGTACTTTGGAATTTTTGGAATTGCTATGTATTTACGATACAGATTGAGTTTGATGTACAATGTTCTAAGCTTGCTATCTATGAAGACTTTAAAAGGTATTTTATAAGTATAACTTTATGAGTGAACACTCAAGTGCTATACTTTTAAGGAATGGCAAACATTTTAGGAAGTAAAAAAGAAGAACAACAATTTTAGGAAACATAATCACTGTTTCAAAAAAAAAATAAATTTAAATATTTTTCGCTATCGTTTTCATCCAAAATATTAAAAATTTTTTCAATGCCTTTAATTCAAATGGAAACTTTTTAAACCTAATATTTACCACTTTTATTTAAACTCTTTAATATTAAATCATGCAATTTAATGGCATTTTATTAATTAAAATATTATATATAAAAATTTGAATTCAATAATCAGATATTTATTTTTACTTTTCATACTTCTTTCAGTGTTAGTGTTCATTGTGTTCGCATTTTTTATTCAAGTACAAAAAATATGAACCATCGTTGCTTTTATATATTTCTATAATTTTTTGGTGTAATAATGATTACAAGAAAGTTTTTCAAAACGTATTTTATTGAATCTATCAATATATCCATAAACTAAAAGAAAATTCTTTAACTCCCACATTTTAAAGGGGGGAATAAAAGTTAAAGTGAATTTAAATTTCTGTTTGGCAGATGTCAGCCCAAAAATATGCTTTGCGAACTTCTAGAAGCCATAGGAAAACCCCTTTGTCTACTTTTGAGAAGTGGCGGTTTATTCCCCCTATTCCCAAAGATTTTCCGTCAAATCCGCTTAAGCTCTTGTGCGAATTTCCCTTCTTTCATTTACCCATTTCATTCAAATTCCGTTTTGGCCAGAACACATGACATTCATTCATGAATTCCACGCCGTTTTCCTTTTAGCCATTCTGCACATATTTCACATGCCACGTATTTCTGGGGGTTTTTGTGTGTGCCTTTGTATCTTTGCATCTCGAGGCTGTTGCGTACGTGCCAGACGGAAAAAAAGCAAGTAAAAATGGTGAAATGCTTCAGGTGAGGCGACACCAATCACAATCATCATAAGACCATCATACCATCGCCATTCCAGTTGATTATGATGAGCTCTGGAGATCTTTTTTGAGTCGACTCGAGACTCGAGAGTCGAGATTCGAGTGCCTGTGCCTTTTTCTCGACATTACTCGCGAAAGTTTTATCGCCGCGGCGAGATTCTAACATTTTTGTGTGCATTCCTCTTTGGTGCGTTGTGTGGTTCCTCCGATTTCTCAAGAGTTTTTCGCTCATAAAACGTACTCGAACTCATTAAAACGCGCACTCTGATAACTGAGATGGCCAAAAAAGCAAATTGGACACCGTCAACTGGTGCCGGCCGACTGCTGCGATGGAATATGGCTACACGGAGGAAAATATTTGTATTTGTTTTTGAATATTTGCATAAAAAAAACTAATTAATATATTCGGCCAACGGTTCGAAAAATCTTGAAAAAGATTAAAAAGGGGTAGATTGTTAAAACTTGAACTTGATCATGAACAAACTTTTTTAGGCTGATTTTTATAAATTTAAGCCAAAAAACTTTTCCCAAAGCAAAAATTTGAAATGAAGAATTAATAGAAACCTTTTAAATTTCAACGCAGTCACTAATGGTTATGGTAATAAACTAAACATTCCTTACTGATTAATGATCTAATTACTAATTTATGTAATATATAAATTAAAATATTAAATTTTTATTATTATGTGAGACTTATTATTTTAAAATAAAAAACTTAAGTAAGTTTTATTTTATAATTTAAATAATTACCAAGAAGTAAGAATTTTATAAAATCATTGTTTTGTTTGTGTCTAAATTTCCCGATCAAAAGAAGAAGATCAAGAAAGAGAAGAGAACGCCGAGAACCTGAGAGAGAGCTTTCATTCCCGCAATCCTAGATCGAAAGCTCCGCTTAATGAGCTTTAATTGTTTACTTTTGGCACTTTGAAGAAAAGTACAGCATACGTGGCACTCGCATTTAAATTAAAGAATAACCTAAAATTCTGTTAATTTTGGCAACGAAAAGTGTTAAAAAAGTGATATTCATTGAAATAATATGTGAATAAAGAGCTGCGCAACAAATTCCGTGCGTAATTAAGCGTTTAAACGGATAGATTTTGCAATTTTTACAAAGGGTGCTCCAAAAGGCAAACATACATATTTGTGTGCTTGTGTGATTTACGCACTCTCGTAAATACATACATACAAATATGCATGTGATGTAAAGCATGTATGTACCAAGTTGTTGTTGCTTGCAAAGAAAGAAATAAAAGACCTAATAAGATAACAACGCTCTTTTACAGTTTTGTTTTGTATGCTTTATTTTTCGAAGTGTCAAAAATACAAGAAAAAGTGCATTTAAATACTTATAGCTTGCATGGCTTAACAAACATAACATTTTAGATCAAGACACTTTATTAAGAAAAAAGGGGTAAGTGATTTCATTAATTTTGAAATTTATTTATAAAAATAAAATAGTTAATCTATGGCTATAAATTTCTCGAGTTTTACAATGAAAGTAATAATAATTTATTTACTAAGTCATTAGGATGAACTTGCTTTGTTTTTTTTTATTTTAATACAGTTTGCTTGTTGCTCGTTTTAAGATCAAAAATTATTTGTCAGTGTACAGGCCGACGTGTTTACATGTGCGTCTTGCTGCTGATTTATTTGATGGGAGAGCTGGAGATGATGATCCTGCTGTTTTGGGGGAGCACGTTGCAGGTTCTCGAAATGGGGCAAACGGCGGAAAGATTTTAGCCAGCTCTCCAGCGGCCAATTAGCCAGGTTCACATTTGTTTTTGTGTGGGAAAACCAGGAAAAGTCCCAAAAAACGTTTACGAAAATCCACTGTAAACAATCAGAGATCAAAGGGTAATGAAGATATCCATTTTCTTTCGAAAATATCAGTATCTGTTGTCCTCGAGCAACATTTTCGAGCACTATCAATCCTCGCGTATCGCGAGCCAATCGGTTAACACTTCAGCATCGATGTGCCTCACAGTCATGTCCATTGTTTTGGGTCAGCCTGCCTGCTTTTTGGGCTTTATTTTGTTTCGGGAGGCGAACAAAAATTTGCATTTTGCCTGCTGGCCAGGTTCGCGACTCCATGGAAGTCTCCTGTTTTATCCCTGGGCTTTCTTTATGACCCGACTTGCAGTTTGCAGTTTGCAGTTTTTCTTCTCAACTTTTTTTCTTTGCTTATTTATTTGTATACATTTTTCACTGTGGCCTTTTGTTCCTTTTGGCCATGCTCGCAGAGAAATGTTTATTTGATTCTATTTTCATTTTATTTGAATTGTGTTGTGTGTTGTGTTGTGTTTGTGGCTTTTATGGCTCGACTTTGCGCCGAGATTTGTTTGTGAAAGTTGGCCAATATCGATGAGGAGGCTTCTCCGTCGCCTTTGTTGCTGGCTCGGTTTTGGTGGTGATTGTAAAACAATAAAAGCAACACCTGACTGCCGTTTGCCAACAATGGCGACGACTTTGTTGGTGGCCAGGCGGTTAACAAATGCCGGCTAGATTTTATCTCGGCTCTATGCTCTATGCTCCTGCTCTCCAAGCTCTGGCCATTTTTGGCCAGAAACAAAACATGCTTATTGTTTGTAGATTTTCCGCAGCGTTAACCCAAACATTTCAATTGCGTTGCGATGCGTTTTCTGTTTAAATCTGAATGGCATGCAAATAGTAGGAAAAGTTTTATTGCATGGGAAAAAAATAGAAAACTATATCGGTCTGATTCGCGTACGAAAATCACAGAAATTTGATTAGCTTTAATAATATAAACAAAAATGATTTGGTTTAACGCTGGGCAGTTTTACATATAATTTAGATACTTATATTTGGTTTTGTTTGCAAATGTGATAATTGATAGAAAATATTAAAACCATATGTTTTATAGATGTTTTTGAAATATATGATGTAAACTTAACCATTTCAACGCCTTCAAAATACTTAGAAATACTTTAAAAACTGTTTAAATTATTTAAAGAATGATTTATTATTTACAGAATATTATTGTTTGCACATTCTCTAGCTATTTGGATTAAGTAAATCTTTGTTGAACTAAAAATATAACATATAATTTTATAATACAGTTTTCAAGACAAATTTTCATATGACGTCCAATTTTAATGATATTTTTCGCGGTAAACAAATTACCGTATAGAAAGAGAGATTGCAACGGGCTGAGCTGAGCTGAATCTAAATCTAAATAAATAAAAATCGTGCACTGTTAAGTGAAAGGCATCGACGACGATCTGTGTGCTGCTGCAAATTTAATCAATTGATGAGGCAGTTGCAACTAGCAAGTTGCAACTAGCAACTCGCAGGTTGCAGGTTGCTGGCCCGTTGCTTTTGTTTGTTGTTTGTCGATGGCTGCCAAGCAATTTGGATTTTGTGGCACCAACTGTAGCGGCCGCAAAATAACAACGAGTCCTGACCAGAAAGACATTTACATTCTACTGTTTTTGGCTGATTGTTGTTATTGCAGTTGCTGTTGCCACTGCAAGTGTCGCTTTGGCACATGCAACAGCAACAACAACAGCAGCAACATCAGCAGCAACATCAACAAGCCGCCGCACACTTTACACGCTGGAAACCGTGACTTTAATTTTCTTTTTACTCCCTCTCAACGTTTCAGTTTTTGATTTGTTTTCCCCCTCGCTTTTTTTCTAATTTTTGTTGTAGCCATTTTATATAATTTCAAAATTCATTTCCCAATGGCCGCGCTTTTCATTAAATCGCCTCGCAATGTCGCCAATAGTTTTTGCCCGTTTTTGCCCCGCTGCAACAAAGTTGTTTCCTTTTTTTTATGTGTTCCAGCCATTTGGCTGCCAATGCTTTTAATTTGTAATTACATTGCACACTTTACTTTCGTTTGTCCGGCTTTGATTTATGGCCCATAGAAATAAACGTCCAAATTGTTAAATGGCAGGAATTGGCCAAATCGAATCGTGAGTGAAGTCACAAAGCCACAAAAGCTTGTCAATTTAAGTCAGGCAGCAATTGATCGTAAATGGAAGATTCAGAATTAGCCTTTTGGTGATGGGCCTTTCAGGTCTTTCTGGTCTTTCTCTTATTTTATATGACTTTTACATTTTATTTCCTTGTTTTTGTTTAATTAAAAAATCGTTAAATTGGGTAATGGAAAATCATAGTAACTGAAGAAAATTCTGTTGTAAGCTTTTGTCTG